CTATCAGTGATCAAACAACACTCAGCCAGCTTCAAACATTGTACCTTATTGAAATCAGGTGTGATTATGATAGCTGATGTTGTTTATGACACAGAAACACCATAAAATATCACCAAATAAAGCCATATGAAACGTGAAAGTTATGATCCCACTTTCTAGATGGTATATCTCAGCCAAAAATAGTGGTAGGAGTGAGACTCTTACCTTTTATAAACCAGCTAAGTCCCCGCTAACAGCTCCACATAAGATGGCGAGTAATCCTTTAACTTTTCCCGTCGAAAAACGGCATGACATGACTTGTCACCACTCATCGTGATTTTGGACTTTGTGTGTTTAGGCTGCTCTGGTGTGAAATACATAATAAATAAAAGAAAAACAATGTTATTTTTGAAAAGTCGAGAGCTTCCTGAATCCGGCAATACCAAACATCACATGGTTTGATGACGTAGTGCGTCTGGGAGATACCATTTAACAGAGGAGGGGGGAGCGAGGACGTTGGCTTCCTGGCGGAGTTAGAGATAACATGATAAAAACAAAAGAGCATCATGAAGGTTTTTCTCTTTTCACACATTTCTACTCGTCTTTTTTAATGACTGTAGACGTGTGTTTGGTGCAGAGTCACTGAGAACATTTAGTGAGACTCGTCTTTTTTTCCTCCATGTTTCATGACGTTAATCTGTTTGTCTCTCTCTTATTAACGTTTCGTCCTGTTTGGTGAAATCATTATTCAGAGAGTGGGTCCAAATTAAAACTGTGTATAAACACATTTGATAAAGTTATAAAAGTTGTGTTAATGTGCAGCTGGATCAGTGTGGGTCAGTCACAGAGCTCAACACGTCTGGAAACTGTTTGACGTCATGAAACTTATAAAACTGAATCAAAACAATCTGATGAAGCTGAATGTTGCTGCACAGTTGTGTGTCAGTGATGATTAAACAGCAGTTTGAGTCCAGCCTCTTTAATAAACACTGATTTAAACAGGATGTTTACACACTGCAGAGCTTTAAGCTGAACACACACACACACACATGAGAGGGGTGTGTGTGTGTGTGTGTGTGTGTGTGTGTTTCTGTTACCTGTGGTGTGTGTGCTGTTGTTGTCCGTTGTGTAGAACAGCGTTTGATCTCTGCTGAGTGAACACACCACAGACTGAGAGCCGCACCATACCCGGACCACCGACCCTGCAGACACACACACACACACGCACACACACACACACATACCATCAGTCGACCTCTCAAACTGTTTCTACCTTTGTTTCCTGTTCACACTTAAAAACTTTATCAAGTCAAAACCTGCTGAGGAAAAAAAGATGACGTAATGATCAATAAATACAAACAGGGATAAACAAATAAATAAATGTTAAAATAAATACTGGAAAAAATAAATGTATGAATTTATCAATAAATAAATAAAAACAGGAATAAATGAATAAATAAATTCAGAGAAAAATAAATACCTAATAAAAAATGAATTCATAAATAAATGAATGTATAAACAAACACACACACACAGGTATATAAATAAACACATAATAAATAAATATAAAGAGATAAATAAATGAATAACAGCATTAACAAAGCTGAAACCATCAGTCAACAGGAAATTAACTGTCAGCCATTTTGACGATAGTTAAAATAATATTAATGAAAACCAGCAGAAACACTGTGTCAGCTCTGACGTGTCGACCGAACACACTGTGAGTATCAGCAGTAACAAGTTCCTTCTACTTTCAGCGTCACATATCAGAATACATCTTGTGTTGAGCAGCTCTGTTTTATCTTTTATTAAACTGATGCAGAATTTAATGATCAATAAAAGTGAACAGATTTTATATAAACTGACGTGTACTAAAGAAACTCAACGACAGATCAATAATCATGTTGAACACTGAGGAGTCGTTTGATCCACACAAACACGCCACGTTAGGTTTCAGCAGGATTTTGAAACGTTCCCAGAGTTTCCTCCGAGTGTTTGCTGACTGCGTCTCTCCTCTGTGAGCCCTGCTGTGGTGGAACTGGTGCAGGACTGTGTCATACTGGTTTGACCGGTGTGCTAATAGAAACCTGAAGAGGAGAGCTGGCACCAGCACAAGGGCCAATATTTACACTGTCAACACCGAGGCCTCAGCACGCACACACACACACACACACACACACACACTGTCAGCACACACACACACACACTCTGCAGACTGTTACTCTTCACCACACACACAAAAATCAATGTTTATATTTCAGGTCGAACAAACGCTTTAATTTAACTGTGGAAATTTCTCTGAGACAAAAACACGAGACGTCACATCGACAAACGGTTCAATGAATTCTTTAGTTCACCTGCAGCTGATGTCCGACCATTAACAGATACACATGTAGATCTGACACCAACTGTGTTCTTAATTAATCAGAGATGTGGATTTTTTTCAGCTGATACAATAACTGATAATGTCTCATTTTAACAGGAGAGTACAACCTGAGGGTAAAGGGTTAAATGGAAGGAGCAGAGACAGCTGATCAGTCGTCCACAGCTCCGACCGAACCAAATCTGACTCACATCAGTTTAGTTAACAACAAAAACAAAGAACAGTTGTGACTCGTCATGTGTTCATAATCTGTCTGTTATTTTTTTGGATGAACTGTTTGTCAATAAAACGTCAGAAAATAACAAAAACACGTTCTGTGACGTCTTTTAATGGTTTGTTTAATCCGACCAACGGTCCAGAGATCAGCAGGTCTGTTCACTTTATTTTCATGTTTGAGAAAGAAAAGCATCAAATTCTCACATTTAACAAACATCAAACCAGAAAATGTTCCAAAACAAAAAAGATCATTTGATTAAAAATAAGTTGCCAAACAAATTTGCTTTGATCAGCTAATCGATTAATAGACCAATCACTGCATCTCTACTTAATAACGAACTATTTAAACCTGACTGCAGAAACTCCTCAGCTTCATTTCAGCCATGATTTATTTGTTTTACAGGTTTAATGTGCGACAGATCTCCTCGTTATTTCTTTGGCCGCCGCCTGAACACTCGACCAGCCGTCAACCGTTACTCGACCACAAAGGTCATTAGTCGGTAAGAATTCATTTGTTGCTTAGTCGCAAGAAAAAAAACACAAACAAACTGAACAGAAGTTTCCCTCGAGATAAATGAAACTATTGATCTGTGTGACGTGTGACCTTCAGCAGGTCGGCTGAAAACAGAAAAATGTGACATTTGTCTGAATTCAATGTAGCAAACACAAAAAAAATAAAGTTTCCAAAATTAAATTAATAATACATGAATATTCATTTGGGTTCAAATTGAGTTTAAAACATTTCTGTCTTCCTCATATAAACAGCACCAAATTAAATCACACTGTCCAGGAAATGATCAAATAAATCACGACGTCATTTCCTTTAAACCTCAGGACGTTAAAAACCTCGATACTTTTAGTCTTTGAGTTTATCTGAAGTTAAATCACACTTTTAATTTGAACCTGAGCCTTGTTTATTTTGAGCCTGTGTTTGTTTACACTTTGGCACAGTGAAATTAGAAGGACGCCGAATCGTCTGTCAGCAGCTCCTGTTCATACCGCAACTCTGTGAATTAAATCAGCTGCTGATCAGACATGTCAACACGTCAACATGTCAGCTTCAGCTCGGAGCATCTTAAAGTTATTTATATGTTTAATATTTTATGGACCGAACTGTTAAATGAGAAAATAATAAATAGTCAGATTCTTTGATAACGAGCAGAATTATTAGTTGAACCTCTAGAGAGAAGAAATATTAGCAAAGTGTGGAAAAAGTCCTGCAATCAAAACTTTACTCAAGTAAAAGTACTCAAGTACTGTCAACAGAGTGTCAGCGATGAGAGAACTCGTTCCTTCAGTAAACTGTACGCTCGTTTCTGGAACCAGTTACTTTTGATTTTAATACTTGTGTGTGATTTAATGTTCAGGCTGAAGGTGAACTTATTATATTTCATAAACAGATGAAGAAAAATCTGTTTCTAAAAAGTGACTAATGATCATTTCTGTTATGGATCAATCTGATGATCATTCTCTCCAGTGATCGACTCCTTCACTAGGTGTGGTTACATGATGGCTTCTCATTCAGAATGAAATACATCTGAATGAAATCATTCTGAATTAAAGTCTTTCCAGGTAGTTTACATGAGAAATATTCATTCTGAATGAGGGTTTACACAGAGATCAGTTTAATCCGCACAAGGTTTGGGGCAGGGAAGGTTTCTGATTGGATAGGGGGCGGGTGTTACGTGTTTACGTTTACCGGAAGAAAACACTGTAGTCCTCGCTCCGGATAACAAGATGCTTGATGACGCCGTTCTTAGTGCCTTTTTCAGGCTTGTTTTGCTTATATTCTTGAAGCAGCAGTACGACAACAACCTTGTTCTGCTAATGCTTCGTCTGTTGAGGAGGAGAAGGGAGGTAGAAGGTCGAAGAAGGGAGATAGAAGACCGTGCTGTGGAGAATGGAAACTGCTGAGTGCAACGAGTCCGACTGCTCTATCTCAGCCCGTTGCTATGCGCGCTATATACGTCACTGCGCCAGAAGGGCAAGGAAACGAGCATGTGCAGAAAGACAGGAATGAACTTAAAGAGGAATGAGTGTATACAAGTGTGAGAAATTCTTTCATTTGGAACTAGAAACAGAATATTCCAGCCCCTTACATCGGATTGAATTTTCAAACTGAATGAAAGTGGAACTGTCCGTGTAAATGTACTGACTGTAGCTGTTTCACCTCACAATAAAGAACAGTCCCTTACTGATGATGTCATCAGAGGAGGGGGCAGGGGGGTTCTGTTTTGTTTGTTTGTTTGTTTGTTTGTTTTGTGTTCACCCTCCCTGAGGCTACACATATTGGCTCATCTTTGTCTTTAAAACTCTGGTAAAATAAAAACTAAACGGACCTGCTCAAATTTGAAAACACATTTGTCTTTATGTTACATGACGTCACAGGTCGTCCACAAAAAGTCTCAGGACACACGACAACACTTTATACATATTTATTTCCCTATAAACATCAGTCTGTCCTCAGGGCTCAACACATGTGTGACAACATGTGTCTGCCCCTCTTTAACCCTTTAAACTCGTGTTGTGTTCACGGACCTGAGACTCGGTGACAAACTGTTTCCTTTGTAAAGTGGAAACACGTCAAACACATCAAACCACACCTTATATCGATAAACAGACATGTATCGATTGATAACCGATGATCACAGGTTGTTCTTACCGTTCGTGCACGTCTCATTGTTCAGGTGAACATCTCGCATCGTGTTTCTTCTTCGTGGAAACAATCCGCACGAACACCGGAAAAACAAACCCGCCAAAACGTGTCACGTTACAGACCGAGCGGCACGTTCTCCCGGTGCATGTGTCCGGTTCTGAGCACGAGCCTGTTTCCTCTCGGTGCGGACAGGTGAGTGTTGTTTCACCTACTGAACACCGTCAACAAGGAGACACCTGACCCCGCCCAGCTCCGCCCGCCCCGCCCCGCCCCGCCGGGACCAGCCGGTGGATCACCACATGAGACTGTCTGTCTGTCTGTCTGTCTGTGTGTTTGTGTGTCTGTCTGTCTGTCTGACTGTCTGTGTGTCTGTCTGTCTGACTGTCTGTGTGTCTGACTGTCTGACTGTCTGTGTGTCTATGTGTCTGTCTGACTGTCTGTGTGTCTGTCTGACTGTGTGTCTGTCTGTGTGTCTGTCTGACTGTCTGTGTGTCTGTCTGACTGTGTGTCTGTCTGTGTGTCTGTCTGACTGTGTGTCTGTCTGTCTGACTGTCTGTCTGTGTGTCTGTCTGACTGTGTGTCTGTCTGTCTGACTGTCTGTCTGTGTGTCTGTCTGTCTGTCTGACTGTCTGTGTGTCTATGTGTCTGTCTGACTGTGTGTCTGTCTGTCTGTCTGTGTGTCTGTGTGTCTGACTGTCTGTGTGTCTGTGTGTCTGTCTGTCTGTGTGTCTGT